TCGCCCCGCCCCGCCGCGGCTCCGCCCCCAGCCGCCGTTGGGGACTTGACCTTCGTCCAAGGCCCGGTTTCGTTTCCGACCCGAGCAGTGAGAACGGTTTCGGGCGCTCTTTTTTTCAGCCTGAGAGTCGCAGAAACACCGTTCCCGAAGAGCCCGCGCTGTTTCTTTTCCCTTCCTCCATCCCGATGCCAAAGTGGGAAGTTCTTTAGCTCCTAGGCAACCTCTAGGATGGTCGTCAATCACTCATTCCGTTAGCTCTCTTTTTTTTTTTTTTTTTTTTTTTTTTTTTTAAGATGACCAGTAAGGGGATCTCAACCCTTGGCTTGGTGTTGTCAGCGCCACGCTCTCCCAAGTGAGCGAACCAGCCATCCCTATACAGGGATCCGAACCCGTGGCCTTGGTGTTAGCAGCACTGCACTCTCCCAATCTGCCGGCCCTCCGTTAGCTCTTTAAACGCTTCTGGAAGCTCCAAAACTCCGCTCAGAGCCCACGTCTTCAGAGAGGCTCTTCCCGACCATGGTACCGGGAAGCAGCCCCCTCCCGCAGCCCAGTGGCCGCGGTCTGAAGTTAGGTCACAATGTAAGGTCCAGGGAACCAGGCCCGTGTCTGCAACTCTGAAGCCCCAGCGACCAGTGGAAGGTTGCTATGACAACAGGGATGCGGAGGCCTGCCCTCCTTAGGGTGTCTCCTTGAGAACTTAATAATTAAGGGTGGTAAAAGGCTTGACCTTGCTGCAATGCAAATGAAGACCTTCTGACCCTTGAAAATGTGATCGGTGCTTGAAATTGTTCTATTTTTCTCTATAAATTTGTATGATACTCTGTCCAGACTTTGCAGTCACTTTCCTTTTACCTCGTGTGTATGTAACCATGATAATGCTCACCCGATATTAAGATCTGTTCTCTGTACATTGGTACGAAGCGGTCTTTATTGCCAAAACCATTTGATTTCCCGAACACTGGTATAGCGCCTGGTTCATAGCAAATGCTCCATATGTATTTCTACAAAGAACGAATTAGGGCCAGCCCCTGGCTCACTCCGGAGAGTGCAGTGCTGATAACACCAAGTCAAGGGTTCGGATCCCCGTATAGGGATGGCCGGTTAGCTCACTTGGGAGAGCGTGGTGCTGACAACACCAAGTCAAGGGACAAGATCCCCTTACCAGTCACCTTTTTTAAAAAAAAGAAGAGAAGAAAAAAAAAAGAACAAATTAAACAGCACAGTGTGTGCCAAGCACAGTGCAAGGCTTTGGGGGAATAGAGGTGACAAGGTCCGGGCTCATAGAGGCTCAGTCTAGCCCGGGTGAGAGGGCCTGGTAAACCTGACTACAGCACAGAAGTCTTTACAAAGTGTCTGCAAGGCTGCAGAGTGGGCAGAGCTCACAGAAAAGGCATTTTGTTTAGCTAGTGGTGAAGACCACAAGTGCTAGAGCTACATAAACCAGAGTATGAATGCAGGTCTTGCCTCATTTTAATAGTTGGGTGACTTTGGCTAAAGTATCCTGCCTGAACCTCAGTGGTCTTATAATAAAACGAGGATCTTAATAGTATTGTGGGAATTAAATGAGATCATTTAAGGAAACCAGTTAAATTTCCTGGCCGATAGTAGCAGTTGAGTAAAATAACATTATTTATTTATTTATTTAAAAAGATAACCGGTAAGGGGATCTTAATCCTTGACTTGGATCTTAATCCTTGACGCTCTCCCAAGTGAGCCACGGGCCGGCCCTAAAATAACATTGTT